AATATTATTATTATTATTATTATTATTATTATTATTATTATTATTATTATTATTATTATTATTATTTATTGGACAATTATCTTGTTAAACTAATCACATACTGTGAGCACTTTTATTTGAGTGCTATTTCCCTTTTTCTTACAAGCATGTTTACTCAGTAGTTACTACTGAATTTACTTTCTTTCTAGATTCGGTAATGTATTCAATTGTTGAATCGCATTTAATAAGGTCAAGGGTGCATTTCATCATAACATGTCCATAACAAAATATTTGTACTTTACGGAATGGGAGAAAAAGAAACATTAGAATCGGTGTATTTTGGAGTGCAGGGCTTCACACAAAATTAATTTCTCACTACATATACTTTCTTGCAATAATTTCATCTCAGACCCTTGGAAAGTATAAAAGAGGGGTTTCACTGTATTCACAAACAGTAGGCTCCGTCACCAACATTTCCTGGAGTTTCTTCCTTAGCTCTGCATATTAGAACAAATGACGCAGAGTTCTCGTCCAGAATTGCCCGATACAAATAGGGGTCTTTGGGACATTTCCAAAAGGTATGTCAACATAATCTGAAATCATCCTACTAAAATAAAATTTTCAACAGCTGAGATTTTTGATTATTCTTAAAAAATTTACAACTCCGAAGTAGGTTTCATCAGGTTATCAACAGTAAATTTTAAAAAATCCAAAATTTGTGAAAGCAAACTGGATTTGACTAGATTAGCAATGGATTGAGGCTCCTCATGCATGTGCAATAACAATTCTGACATCTGATTCTTTCAAAAAGAGTATTAGTACGAGATTCTACCATGACCCACTGTATCATTCCAACATAGTGTAAGCAGACCAACAAACTAATTCTGGCCATGTCCATCTTGGCTGTTAAGGTAGATTTAACTGACCATTTCTGACCAACGTAACTTGTTATGGAAATGAGAACACAGATTCTGAATAGCAATCAATATGTCAAAAGGTATCCATGTGTGTTGCTAACACAACAGTGTGTACAATTTGCAGATTCAGATTTCATACACCTTCCAGAATAGCTAAGATGAAAAGTCCTTTTACAGGATGGACAGTTCACAACAACTGAAATTGTAACTCAGCCCTTGCAATACAGACACCACCACTAATAAAAGGCAAATGTGTAAAAGTATGGAAGAAATATTGCGTAAATCACTCACTCTACACTTCTTTAAGTTCCAAAAGACACTTGCACTACAAGATAAAAAATGCCAAACAGCAATAATAAATTAAACACGAAATGTAGGTAAACATAATAACCACGTGCCAAAGATTTTAGATCAGCAGGAGCAAATAAATGAAATGGATGATAATGTTAGAATTCTGTTAATTGAAGGACAGTGCGCACAACAGCATCTATAACTATTTCCTGTATCCTTGTGATTGTATTGATAAGTAAATTGAGCAAGCTAGATACGCTAGTTTGATTTTTTTTTGGCAAATTATTCCACATGGTTTTAGGTCATACTGCGAAAAATGGGTTTTTGGATTTGATGCCTGCATAAGCAATACAAAATTAAAAACCAACTATGTTGCCAAGAAATCTTGCAAATCTCTCAATTTTTCAATCATCAAAGACATTTCCCCTTTTGAGTAGCACATTTTCTAATCTTTAATGCAATGCAATGGTTACAAAATGTTGAGGATTCTTTAAGATGTGGCGATAACATTTCTCCAGTACATATTGCAGTGCACATTCTTGCACAATAGAGTATTGTTGTCAATGCACAGTTATGTTTGAGGATGTTCCAAATATCCTAATTCCTTAATTCCAGAAGATAAAAGATGGATACAAAAGAAGAGATGTGAATTTGTAATTTAGTATTATATGTTTTGTTGCTTTACATAAGTAAACAGTTTAGTAAATTAATTAATATGTTTTTGTAATCAGTGGTATCTTGATTATACTGACATAGCTCTGGTATATATTTGTTTTTTGACCTTCAACTGAGCCCCTGATTATCATTGACCACCTACAAAATGCCATCCAATAACTGCTCTAATATCACAACTAGCAGATAGCAACAGAAAAAAATGCTGCTGAACAAAACCACACAAAATGGATTTCCAAAACGTAGTTTCACACTACACAAAAAACAAACAAAATATTTTTTAAAAAGTCTTCAAGTACTGTAATAACATGGTATAGTACATATACAGTACAAAGGTCTTTAAATGTCAAGAATATCAAAAAAAGGTGCAGTTTCCTAACATATTAAAAGGAAATATTTAATGGGGACCTCTTCCGTATAAATGCCTTGCGGTCATATGGCATCAGCTGTGTCATAAGATGTTGACACACTGAGTATGGCAATTCAGCTGGATTGCACAGTATGAGAATAAGAGGAATAAACAATCCAATATTTGCATTTTTCAGAAAAAATCAAAACTATTACCCTGTTTTTTTGATTAATTCCCAATTCATAGGTATCTAACAAAACTGTAAACACCTCTAATGTGGCTAGAAGTTGTATAGATTAGTTTTGATTTCTGCATGAATTGGAAATTAGTAATGAAGATAATTTAGAAAAGTCAATGCACAAAACCAATGGTCTTATATACATAACACCATATGCTCTCACATTAAAAAAAAAAAAAATTTCAATAGTTATGAGACCATACGGTCACGACATAGCACCCATCCTATTAAAGCACAACTTTGATGTATTCAGACACATGAGGGAAAGAACGTTGCAAAGTCATCACAGTTCCATTGAATTGTAAATACTGTAGGAAGATGACGACAAATGTATCCACCGGGTCAATACGCAAGGAAGTATTGGTTTCGGTACACTTACTATCATCGTAACCAAGAAACAGCTTTTTGCTCATGCAAATTCGAAGTAATATTTTGAATTTTACAATGACTCAATCGTATCAGTCATAAATTGGCACAACAAATTCCAAAATTTGACAATGAGGACTGATCCCTCTAAATTTCATTATGTTATACTTTACAAAAATAAATAAATAATTTTCTGAAAAGTATTACTTACAAAATTATTTCTAAAATATTTTTTACCAACATATATTTTCAATTAAGATACGTTATTTAATAAAATTAACTAAATTTATTTATATCAACATTTATGTACAACAAACTTCTATTTTCAGTGATTTTTCCACCACATAGTTTCTTCAATAGCACAGCGAAAAGTGTAAAAGACCCAGTGTACATGATTTTTTTTTCCTTTGAAAAAAAGAACAATTCAATAATTACTATAGTGATATGGCTGTGTTTCTCCAGACAGAAATAAATAACAGTGAAAAATTCCCAATTGATAAAAAAACAGGCCTGAAAGGTTTAAGTAATTTAATTTTAATCAATCCTCAAATTAGAGAAAAATGTGTGCTTCTAAAATAAAAACCTGTCAAAGTTTTGTTGCAATCAAGACAAACAAATTTCTTTGCACCTAAGAGCACAATTTTATCAAGCTGCTCTTGACTTATTCTCCACATAAAAATACTGCTGTAAAAACTCCCCATAATAAGAGAAACCAGTTTACAGGAGACAAAATTCACGGCACCGAAGTCAATTGTGTTCAACAAGGCATTTATTTCCAGTGTTTAGGACACCCCATTATAGGAGATTCCCACCTACTGTGGACAAGATTTTAATCCCCGCCATCACTTTATTCTAGCTTGTAAGAGACAACACATTGTACTTCCTCCAGGTAACTGAGAAATTTTCTCGTTGTGGTAAGGGTTGGAGCAACATGCTTTAAAATAGAATGGAGCAGGGTTTCACAACATCAGATCCACCAAGAGGGAAGTTCTCTTGAGGAAAGCTCACCCTGTGAGCTTCGTAACTAAGGAAGCAAGGAAGTCGCTGCAGTGCCTGCATATTTCGAATATATTTTTAGTGCTTTGGAGCTGCATTCTGCCATGTGTATTCAGAATTTTATTTTACTTCGGTCCTTTCAATCAGTTTCATTGCTGCATGGTCAATCTGGGGCAGACATACATTAGTACTACACGTGTGAATGTGAACGCTCAGTTTTTTTGTTGTTTTTTTTTTGCCTTCTATGGATATGCGAGTGAATTGAACCGAAAGGTTTTGTCGTTGGCAGAGAAGTTGGACATAATTAAAGAAGTTGAAAAATCCAAAAGGCAATCATGGAGAGTTGTGGCGGAAAAAACAGAAGGTACTAGTTTCGTCACTCGGAAAAATTATTCAGAAAAGAAGAAATCTTCAATGCTGTAAGAATGATAGGTAGCATGAAGAAAAAATTTGTTTTCCACCATTCATGGAAATGGAAAAGATTCTTTAAGAGTGGTTTCAACAGTGCAGAGCTGTAGGTGCCCCTGTTGTTGGGAACATTTTCCAGAAGGCGGCAGTAGCTTTGTATAGAAAGAATAACAACAGGTATTATCTCTTCTAACTTAAAACATGATTTTGCTGTTCATTAAACTCAAAAGTTCTAGCTAAATGGGCTCTAGTGCAAAGAAATTTCTGTTTTCTCAAGTTTAAATTAGCGTACAACAAATCATAATATTTATATGGCAACGTGTCATTTAACATGCCAAAAGCAAATTTCCCACTTACAAGAGACAAAATTCCATTCCCCCAGGTATTTCTCATAAAGGGGTTTTGCTGTGCAAAAAATTTGAAAAAATTAGGTATGTTTAGCAGCACAAAAATGATAGCTGATTTAGTTTCAATATTTTTTATAAATTAATTACAGTTGAGGGCAGAAAGCAAGGGCATGAAAACAGATTAGAAAGCTTGTTATCTAAGTCATCAAAGATTCGGGTTTCGAACTACAATGAAATCTGTATCTGCTATTTTATATAGTATACATTAGAATATTAAGATGTTAGAAAATGAACAAAATTCTGCAATTGTATGTAAAAAGAAATATTATCTCAAGAGCAGTTGTTACCACTAGAACCAGATTAAAGATATCAAAGAATTATAGAGATACTAAACAAGATATTTCACACTGACAGATCTAGATATGAGATTTCATTACCTGGTTTGAGGTCATAATGAATAACAGGAGGCTTAATTTCGTTGAGGTATTTTAATGCAGACACGACCTGCATCACAATAGACCGCGCTTCCCGCTCTGGGATGGTCTTGTGCTGCAAAATGAAATTGAAATTACACAAGAATTTCCCAGAACAATTGCAGCCACCATTTCAATATTATGAATTGAAATATGTTAAGCTCCCCGAGAGGAGTTATTTTCTGATACTCTTGACATGTTTATCAATGAACAAATTTTAATGCTACAAATGTAAAACTTTTAAAATACAAGGTTATTATGGTGCTAGATTTTAATAATAATGTATAACAATTGTACCATAAAATTATATTGAGAAATAGGACCAAAGAGGATGTTTGGTACATTATTTCTTTCACTCTTCAAGATTAAGTTCTTTTGTCACACTCTGTATGACCAAGAATTCTTTAAACACAAAGTAAATATTATACACGTGCCTGTTTAAGATAGAAATCCAGATCATGGCCATCACAATACTCGAGGACTGTGCAAAACGAATTTGCATCAATTTCAAATACATCATACAGTTTTACGACTCTCGGATGATCTAACGCTTTATGAATGTTATATTCCCTCAAGGCATGCCTACAAAATGAAATGAAACCGTAAGATTAAATATTCACACACTTCAATACAATATGAAATCCACTCTTAACAACAAGAATTGAATAAACTCACTTTATATAATTCGCTTTTTTATCTTCTTTCCAGTCTTTATTTAATTGATGCACTTTACAAGCCACATACCTTTGCTCTTTCAAGTCAAAAGCCTGAAGAACACAAGACTATTATTAATAGTAACCTAAAAACTAAGGGTTTTCCCATACCTCAAAAAGCAACAACAAACAAGCAACATGTATGTCCTTTCAAATAAACAATAATAGGAGAGAAAAAAGAAATCGATGATGATCTCCCAAAAAAACTTAATTTGTATATCTAAATAAAAAATAAATAAAAATTACACAGAATTATAAATGTGAATTATTACCACCGTTTAACTACAATTTCTAATTTGAAATGGAAAACTTTCCTTACCTTGTGAACTTCACTAAAGCCACCTTTACCCAATAACATGAGTAACAAATAGCGTTCGTTTAAAACTGGATGGTTATTGAAACGTGATTGGTCCTCATTATGAATTCTTTTGAGCTCACGAATATGAAGATTGCGTTCTCTTTCCAACTTCTCCATTTCAAGCTGCAGATCTGCATCTTCTTTCTTAAGAGCACTTTGACGCAACTAAAAAAACAATGTAATTAGCACTTTGAAAGATACAATAACATATTTTTAATTTACCTTAAGTGATTCTACAGTTAATTCTTAAATGTCTAATAAAACCCACAAATCTGAAACTGTCAGATATTAATAGTAGCAATACATTTATTTGAGAAATCATGAATTGACTAGTTTTATCCACTCTACATCAACTGCTGTAGTTAAAATGGAGAGCATACTTCAAAAAATGCTCAATAACCTGCTCAAGAAAAACAAATTAAACTTACTTTTAGTCTTTGCAAATGTATGACCCAATCATAGCACAAAGAGAGCATCTTCACACTACAAATATGGATACCATTTACTGCTACCATAATATACTTCCTTGTAGAGATAAATATAAAACAAGACAATATTAAGCCTAGCATGTAATGTTCGCTTGCAAGATCTTAACTATTAACAATTAAATATTTAGACTCTTTAACTTTAATCATTCAATACAGAGCTTAGGTTTGATGCAGTAGCATTCCATCATGGGTAAAAGGAAACGGAATTTGTGCATCACCATAGTAGCAGGTAGCAAGCTCACTGTCAGTCATCAGTCTCCACATGGCATTTCCTTACATTGAAGGGTTGACAGAGTGTACACATTAATAATGCTGGATTGCTCAGTTTCTTGTTCCTAAAAATATTTTAAAATTCCACCTTGCAAATACTTAAAGAGTATTTAATTAGCATAAACAGAACTTGACTCCTTAAGAATAACTATGTGAAAAATGTACAAATATATATAACAAATTACGAAGTGTGGTGCAATGTCCTCTTCTGTCAAAATTATTATTTTTATAAATATTACATTGAATTTACTTTTTGTGTGATAAGTATTATGTTAATTTTAAAAGCCTTGAATGTACAATATGTAGAAGAACATGTGTTTCACGGTCCTGTGCTGTAAGGTGGCGAGCTACGATTGAGATAATTTTGTGATTCCGTGCTTTATGTATTTATTTTTTATTTAATTACACCATGAGAAGCCATGTCATCTCAACGGGAGCCATAAACAAACACTTTACGATGAGGCATGGCAGAACAGCTGTGTTCTGTGCCATGTGTATTTTCCTGTATGTATGTATCATACGATGTTTTTGAGCCATTTTTGAAATTATCACATAGAAAGATCCTGTTATATTTTTCCCCCTTTTATGCAATTTTTAATGGTCCCGTCCAACAGCCTGTATTTACAATGAGTCCTCTTCCCGCAATTTACAACTTCCTAGGAAAAGTGTTTCCCATCTTATGTAATTTTGTCACTTTTTTGTATGCGTGCATATTATATGGAGAAATATACGTAGTGCTGAGAAAGTTATTAACCACAAAACTAAAACAGGGATTTCTCAACTGAAGAACTCTTACTGATACAGAAAAAACAGATAAATCCTGCTCCAATATGTAGTAAATTAATACACATGTGCTACATATATGAAGCAAACTCGCAAAGCCTCGAGTTTGTTCAGATCAATTGAGGAATATCAATTTTCGAGAAAACCAGCTGGTTATGGCGCTAGAATTGATATGAATTGAATTGACACTTACAAACACTTTTGGCTGTCAAACAATTTTTCGGTTTCAAGGAACTAAATACAGGAATATGATTTATCCACTTTTTTGTTACTAGGGCCTGTCAATATGAGTTTTCTGTGGAAAATTCCTAGTTTATCGGCTCACGATTATAATACTTCCTATTCTTATGAAGGGAAAAAAAGTAAAAACAGCCCCCAATGCAGTAGATAATGTAAATACTTGCCTAGCCTATAATTATTTTCACTTTCTTACATTTTACACTTTTTCCATTGGTTCCCTAAAAAGTGTAAAATAGGAGTTTTACTGTACCTTCGCGATGCCTGAAACTTATCAATGTCTAGTGGGTACCAGAAAATTATTACTATTATTATTATTATTATTATTATTATTATTATTATTATTATTATTATTATTATTACTATTATTATTACTATTATTATTACTATTATTATTACTATTATTATTACTATTATTATTATTATTATTGAGCCTGGCCTGTTAGGCAACTAAAAAAGGCGGTCAATTTTAGGGACCAAGTAAATCAACTTCCTCTTTATTGGAAGAAATCTTTATAGAGGATATTATCACATATTAGTGTAAACGCACCAATTATAAAACCAAAAAGAATTCTACAAAACATCCTTTGCGACTTCCGTTGACATATATATTACTTTATATGCAATACATGCACAGCACTAAGAGTAAAGTAAAATAAATGTTAATAGTCATACCTTAAGAATTTCATCCGCTTCATAATACTCTTGCCAGGAAAACGCACCCGGCACAGAGTCAGGCTTCAGGAACGTGGCATCAGTGCCATTATGAAGAACAGTTGATCCCTGACTTGATGCTTGACTGCCGCTACGTTTTCTGCCCGTTTCACTATTCGAAGGACGTTTCTTTAACAATAATTTCTTTTGCCTATCAATTTCTTCTCGCTCAGCAGTTATTTCTTCTTGCCGCCTTAAGAATAATAAAACAGTGGTTAAATACACTAAGTAACAGCAGTAGAACAACTTTATGACACAAATTCTCAAACTCTCACCTTGCAAGTTCTTGGAAGGCATACCCATCAGTCCAATTTTCTTGAAAGGTAGCTCCCACCCGTTGCGTAACAAACTGCCCTAGTCGTAACCTATTCTGCATGCACTTCTGCCTAGCTTCCTTTTTCTCAATATTCGACTTTTCTTTTAACAGCTTTTTTACTACATCAATACATTTATTGATGTGTGACTTGTGCTGCTCCATTATCTTTTGTTGCGCTGCCAACTGCCGCCGTAACTCATCCATTGTCTGCAAAATATCATTTTTTTATTGCAATACAATTGGTCATTTTGCATCACAATCTGAACCTGATAACATAATAAAAATTTGTACATCTTCATTCAATGAAAGCCGATTTCGTTAAGATTTCCATTATTCACATCAAAAAGAAAACATTTCAACTATCCTCTAAAAATTATCTATACAACTTTTCTTTTGTTTTACAAAGTTTTCTTACCAATACAAGGATTAATGTGTATTGTAATATACTGTATAATATGTATATTGTAAATAATGTATAATGTAATGCAGAGTATACTTACTCTATTTAATTCATCTATTTTGTTATTCCGCATTTCGAGGTCAGTTGATGTTTGATTTTCAAATTCTTGTATCCTTTGACACGTAAGCTCAGTCTGAGAAAAAAAATACAAATTTCAAAAACTTTCCTTTCCCATTGCTTTTGGAGTTACTGGAAATAAAGGTATTATTATTATTATTATGTAAATACACATACTGAATTAATAACATGTAAATATACAAATATATTAAAATAAGTTCCATAACAAGAAATATTTTCTCTGATGTACAAAAGCCATTTCCAAGAGTGCAGCAATTGAGCAACAGATATCATTAAATGGTACTGCTGATGAATAAATAACATATCAATACCTCTCATATTTAGCAAAATAAAACGAAATTAATAATATCTTCTTAACATTAACCTGCTATTTAAAACCATGGGAGCTTAGTCAAATAATATTTTACATTATGTATACATGTTAATTTACATCTTTCATATTACTGTTATTCAGGCTGATCATGAACAATCCTTCAGATAATGAAAAATTATGCTAGAAAGAAGTCAAGAAATACACCTAAGTTTGAAAATTGGTTTAACTGGACTGGATTCTAGTCTGCCAAAGAATTTATTGGATAATTTGTGTTCATTTATGCAAACAATATTTAATTTTTTTAATTTTAAAATTGGGGATGAACCAAAGAGCTTGTAAAAGCCATCTTTACAATTGTAATTTAATATCTTTTACACTTTCCTAATATTACCCACTTTTCCCTTTGGATCTTTGAAAAGTGTAAAAGGCGATTTACTGTAACATTGTAACAAATCTTTCGAGTGATCACTGAACTCTCTTCCAAAACAAAATATAATTTTGCAGATATATTTTAACAATATTTTGTTTCCTATTCACAGACAATTCATTTCCAACCTAAACATTCCCTTTTCCTTAGCAGACACAAAACTTGATAAGTATTAATGTAACTATAACTATACCTAACTAACCTACCATATTTGTACAGTACTTCTAATTTAAAAATTACTGAAGGACTAGGAAGAATATCACCAGATTTCAACACAATATCAGGATACACAGCAGAATAAGCTGTATATAGAAATACGTTCCATACATTCCACACAGAAAACCATTTTCAGTCACTCTAGTATCCTGACACGAACCTGACACACTCGGGTCTCCGAAATGTCAAAAGACGGTATTGCTATTCTTATCACGACAGCAAAGAGGCAAATGGGTTGAAAACAGAAATGTACAACGTTTGAATCAAAAAGAAAAGAATTGAATGTAATAGGGAAAATAATAGCCATTTTGGGGGATATTTCTACATGACATCTTGGCTTTCATGGCATCTTGAAAATTCCTTAAAGATGAAATAATTGTTTGGTCTCTTTTTTAAAAAAGTAAATAATGTAAGAAGTAGCACTTTTGTATTCACACAACTTAGTAGGAACATTATGGGATTATTTAGGTGAGAATTAGTGACGTTCCAGTACGCAAAAGAAATGTGGTTTGCCAGAAATAATGTGAGATAAGACATTTATTCCTTTTTCACAGTGTTTATTTTGAACATTAAAAGAAATTGTTAATATAATACTCTATATATACAAGGAAATAATTTTTTAAAAAAGGAGTTGTATTCATTATTTTTATAAGTTCAAAATCATGTCAATTCTTGAAAGCTTTAAACCTTTTCATTGGGTCTAGGATAAGTTTTCTGATATTCAAGGACAGTTATGGTTCATTATCTAGGGTAAGGAAAGTATGTTTACTAACCTTCTTATTTTAAGTGATGAAAACAATTCGAATCATCAAACTTGATAATTTCTATCTTTCTATCTTTTTTTCATTAAAGTAAATTACGACTTCATATGAAATGATTTTTCATAATAAAGCTATTTAATTAAAAAACCAAAAAAAATCACAATTGATTTTTTTTTAAACACACAACTCACAAGACATGTTTTTTCTCTGTGGCCCAACCTCATCATGTATGCTGCACCTTACTATTTGGGCCCTTGAGACCGTAAGACATGCTTATCAGAAAAAAAGTTTTTTAAAGGCACTCTCTCATGTCTGCATACATTACATCAATTGCAGAACACAGTAAATTATCCCCATGAGGATTGAAAGGTATCTTTGTATCCAGAAGAAAGCTGCTCTAAGTAATAACTCATTCCAAGTATTGAGTCAACCAAAAGAGGTATTCTTATTAATAACACCACTATTTAACATACAGTTTATATGGATTTCATGACAACTTACCTGGACTTGCTTGTTGACCATTGTAGGAGGTGGTCGAGGTGGATGCATTAAACTTGAGAACTCTGGAGTAACGTTCTGCGGTACAGGAGTTTGAGGAGATGGCAGCAGTGACTGCGGAGAAGGAGGATACTGAAACACGCATAGTTGGTGACATTGCAAACTTACAGAACTACTACCTTCCACAAGAACATCTACTTCATTACTTACAATTCTCATTTGTTGTGGTTATCAGTTTTACTGAAAAAAGTTGAGTTCAGAACTGCTAGCAAGATCTTAAACTCACCATTGGATAGCCTTGTTGAGGTGATGGGCTTTTGGAGCCACCATGTCGGATAGGACTATTGCCAGCATGTTTAGGGAAGTACTCGTTAATTTTTTTGTTATCAGTGCGTGCTCCCTTAGCTCCTGAAGGACCCACAGTTGTAGCTGTACTTCCTCCTACTGCCACAGTCACTCCTCCCACTACTCCAGCATTGCTACCACCACTTCCAGTACAGCTGGTTCCTCCCCCTCCCCCATCATCTATTTTACGCTTTCGTTTCCGCTGCTCCGATGGAGTTCGAGGGAGTTTCTCAGGAGTGGAGTCCACCTCTTTATCGCTATGAGACGAACCTGTAAAGAGCCAATTAACATTTTATCTCTTTTATAACAGCTATTAATAGTCCACTGCGTTTACATTAAAACCATAATGTTATAGGTTGACTGAAAGGCACCAAAAGATGAATCAGAAAATGTAAGAATTAATGACATAACCAACATTTTGTGTTGAAGTAAAAGTTAGATACATTCTACCTGTATTTCACAATGTATAATTAAATAAATCTTAATTTCAGATATAAACTTTATTTCTTTTTCAGATTTAATTTTCAATTTTTCCCCTGTTTTATTTTGCTTACACCAGAGCTTAGTTGCTTTATCATCAATACTACGATAGTTCACAATTCATTTGACCTAGGGCTGTTTGGATTTTGGCTTTCACATTATTCAAAAATTAACATGGCATTTAGTTTAACTATTCATAAAGCACGAAAATTAATATGATATGTCATGAACCTCTTCATGACTTAAAGCAGCATGTATTTGCAAACCATCCCCAGAAAATTGAAACATAAAAGAAAATAATAAATATTCATTTTATAATATAACAAAAATAATAATTAATGCTGCATGTGAACTAAGGAGGCAGACTCCACAAAGTTGATAGAAATCAATTTTATATCAAAGACAGGACATAACATGAACAGAAATCTACAGGTTAGCAATAGCAAAGCACCACAACTACCAAGAGATCCATCACACATTAATTTACAAAAATGACAACAAAGTAGCAATTTTCTCATAATATTGATGACATTTACATCTTCGTATTAATATCCCTAACTTGGTATGTTCAGCAAGAAAGATAGTGATCTGCAGAACATTTTTGAAAACGTTTGAAGATTCGCTGTTCAAGAATTACTCAAATCTATAAACATTTGAAAATTCTTAAAATCCAGCTGAAAAAGCATGGTGAAAATGAACACTTAAATTGAGAAAACAATAAATTCAACCCAAGATCAAAGATTTTTTCCAGGTACTTCCAGAATCTTCACTGATTCCCAAACCCTGTCAATTGCTTCCAAGCTGTTGAGACACTGAGGCAAGGCAGCTGGGACATTCATCCAGGCTCTTATCTTGATTCCAAAACTTTCCAATGTTGGGAATAAAATCCACCCACATTTGCAAGTATGATAGAATAAAAAATGAAGCAGGGATAGAATTTTAGGCTTGAATTATAACTTTATTATCACTATCAAGAATCTCACCTGTACTCATGTTTGAGTCCTGACTATGAACTGACTGGCCTGAGTTCACTGTTGCTTGAGGTGCCATCTGAATTTGTGACCCTGCCGACATCTGCAACAATGCATTATGCATCACTAAACATAAGCAAATATGAACACAAAATATATCCAATCAACCACCACATACCCAATCAACAACATTCACAAGTATATCACAGTATTTCTAAAACATTCCAAGAAATTTAATTGGGTATTTAATTCAAATGTATTTAAACCTTTGAAGAATTTTTTATATAAATTTGTAATTTAATATTGTTATTGATGGATTATAAAATATATTAGGAAATCCTTCAGCAACCTGTGAAATATTCTACTTCATGAAGTCAAGCATTCAAATCATCCTGTATTCCGAGCAAATTGCATGCTAAATGAAATTAGAATTAAAGCATTTCACAGGATCCTAAAGGGTCTGTATTCTGAAGTTCAAATTAAAACCCAATCAATCAAATTTCTTGTACATACACTGCACATTATGACAAATAAATTTTCTATAGAAAGTACAATTTTAAATTATCCACTACACATCAACCCATTCAAATAGCTGCATTCTAACATGACTTTCTTCATTATCACATATAGAACAAGGCACAAAAACTCACTATAAAGAAATTTTATGCAGTTTTCATTGTCAAATTCTAAATACCTATATCCAATCATATATGAAGGTTTCATGCATCGTGCATACAAGCAATAGAATACAAACTTAAGCCTTTTGATAAAATCACCAAAAATACTTTTCAATAGAATTAGAAATATATATATATATATATATATATATATATATATATATATATATATATATATATATATATATATATATATATTTATAAATACAGTACACTTTCCCCTCCAAGATCTCATTGAGATTTAACACTAAGAATACAGTTCTTCTGTAGTTGCATGGTGATATTCACAATTTTCACATTTTCTGTTAACTTGGCCTGAACATAAGATGTTTATATTAAGATGTGCACCTGTGCAAGAGATCTGATGTTTTGCAAAAGCCTCTTCCTCCCACTTTCATTCCTCCACCAGTAAAATTGTTTTAATCTTAAATCTTTTCAGGAATTTTACAAAAACCACAGCTATTCCCTTATTCTCTCTTGAATTTACAATAGAGAGGCAGGAAACCATGGCTCAATCTGCAATTGAAATGCTTCCATCAATGTGATTTATATTTATATACAAAAACAGCCATATGAACATTTTCACACCGATGTATAAACTAATGTACTCCAAAACAAAACAAAACAAAAACAACAACTTAAAGTACTAGGACTTTTAAACAGTTTAAAACTACACTTGCCTTAATCAAGCAAACAAAAGTCACAAGAGTAATTCTTGTGATTATTCAATTGTATATACCTACATAATTTTTATAATTAGATGTTCTTTGCTAATTTGTACAACAAATATCTTCTATTCAGTACATTCTCTTACACTATCATTGGGCCGAAGCCACAGATTCATGATTGGCCCAGTTATTTGCCAAATTAAAGTGATCCCTCAGTACCTTTGACAATTAGGGACGTTCATTTGTACAAATATGAACATTTTTTGTGGTCCCATGTCAAATGAACTTATAAAAAGGAATTATTGAGTGTAAAGAATCTCAATTACACATTAATGTTAAAACAAGGAATTACTTTCAATCAGGAAGTTGCAAAGCAATCAAAAGGAGCTCTCAGCAATTCATTCTCTTCCTTCGTACCAAATAATTTCTAAATGATAAAATTTAACACTTTTGAAATGCTTGCAATTTATGAAAAACACAAGAGATTTCTTTACATTATTTCAAAACTACAATGAAATTAACTAGATAATATTTTACAATCCCTTGAAAATCCTCTTAGGTAATTAATTTGAACAAGATAACCTTTTCTGTATATTTCATTGACAGTTGAAATATTTGCTTTAAAACATTTTCCAATACACAAACTTTTTGTATAATCTTCAGTAGCTACTTTAAATATAATGTAATCTGGAAGCAGGGTGGCCACTAATTTCCTGGAACATATTTCCTTGACTTTTCCTGTACACATTTTAAGATTTGTAACTTTACACTATTAAAATAATAGTGAAGTTAGCCTGATTCTTTGATTTCACTGTGAAAGTACCTTTTTTTAAATTTGTTTCCAACAAGTCACTAATTTTGGCTGAACTAGTTTGTTTATGTAATAAAATAGTGTTATGTAACAGCCTTAAAAGTTTCTGCAATATTTCCAGAAACATGAAATTCCCTGATTTTTCCCAATTTTCCAGAAAGTGGCCATCCAGTAAAGCAGTCTCTTTGATATTGATTTATAATATAGGTTGCATATATAAAATAGATTTAAAGTAAAATTTAAAAACAAATACTTCAAAATAAACTTCACAAATCAGATAATCATTACAGATTTCAAAATGAGGATTCACTCAATTTAAATTCTCAGAATGATCCCACGTTAATTAAATTGGTGACTCCAATATAAACAAAAGGCACAATTACCAGGCGATTTCTCACATCACATCCAAAAGATGTTAACGCAAAGAATGCCTGCATTAAATAATTCAATGAGAAAAGAATGCAAGCTGCACAGAAGTATATATATTAAAGAGACATACAATTTTTATGTTCACAGTTCTCCAAGTTCATATCTAGACAATTTCACTTTAACTACATATACATTTTCCCCACTTTCATTTAAGTAGTTATGTACCATTGGGGATTACAATACACAAAATGCTACAAACTTCCTCTAGAAAATCTTCCTCTTTCCCTAACAATTTCTAAATATCTATTAGTCATGCATTTAACAAGACATCTCTCTTAATTTAAGGGCTAATGTTATATATGTGCATAATTGCTAGATTATTTAACAAGAAGTAAATTTCTCAAAGAAAGGTACAAAAATATATGTTTAATGTAAACATTTGAATATTTTCCAAGACTTAAAAATTTTAAATGGATAAGATGATCAGGAGGAAATTAAATTGTGAGCTACAGAGATAAAAATATTTCAGAGAGAAGAAACCAGGTCAATTGGCATAACAGAGACTAGAAAAAGACATCATTTGCAAAAATTAGTCTCTGTAACAACTGTATAATTTAATTACAGACTAACTACTGATAAACATATATATGTAAGTGGATACCTCCAGATCCTAAAAGTATCACAAAATCTCTCACAAAACAAAAATTTTATTTCTAATGTCATAAACAATGCTCTTTGATTTTTCTAAGTAACCCTAAAAGAAAGTGAAATTGATATACAAGTTAAATTTGTTTGCAAGAAGTACCATAATTACTTCATAAAACAGTTTTTAAAATTTAGTTATCACAGCTTAACTTCTACCATAATTATAGCTTAATATTAAGAGAAATATTAATATTGCCAGTTAATGTGAACTTCAAATGTAGCAATTTCAGAATTGGTTGCAATCTTACCTAAAATTCACATTGAAATGTTAACATTGCTTCTTTCAATGTCCAAGAAGAAGGAAGAAAAACATGCCCTGTCACATTGTTTTCAAAATGTTATTAAGGGCCAACTTTTAAGTAATTTAGCATGTTTCCAAAACCTATATACAACAAATATTCAAGCAATATATATAGGTAGTGAATCTATTGATCAACAAAACTGACAAACATGGTGTCAACATCAATGAAACTTTGTTTTTAAGATTTCATAAAAATTAAAACAAAAAATTGTCCAATTTTGAAACATTTTTCAAAATTCTCATTTCAGACAACCAACAATGTAAGTTGTCACAGAAACAAAATGTAGAGAACAGAAATTTACAGTATAGCATTAAACACTATAAGATGACATAATTAACAGATAAATTCATGGGCAAAAATTGAAAATTTCTGTTCAAATGTTAAACAAGAATAAATTAATTGCTTTAGAATTGCCATTTTTAACAGCCTCTTTTAAATGTTCATATAACTCAGACATTTTAACACACAAGTCATTCCAAGCAAATTTTGACAAATGTCACTATTCTGTAATGTAAGCATCATTTCAGTCCACATGCTTCTCATATTAGATTTACTTTTTTGCATACAATTTGGGTTTGGACAATACTTATGTTAAAAAATCCTTCATCAATTTTCATGCAAAACCATACATTATTTTTCCTAAGTTACCAAATTAGTCTGAATTCTGAAACACTGTACAAAACCTTATAAGTAGCTGACCACATGATGTATAATTTGACATTTGACTAGATTTTAGTGTAATACAAATTAATAATTTATCCATTAACAAATTACGAGAAATACTAAGAAATGTCATTACTCAAACACATCACATTAGTCACAACTCCTTATAACAGCCATACAATTAAAGAGAAATTGTCTAGAATGAATCATCACAGATATTAAAGAACATTTGAAAGATTGAAGGAGTGCACTGACACTAAAAACCATGTAAAAGTGTCAGCACTTTACATTTTATTGGGATAAAAATGCACAAAGTTATTTAAAGTTATATTATAATACTGTGACTTTCCCATGCAATTTCCATTATCTCCCTATCTATTTCACAAATACAGTAAGATATCAGTAAAAAGTATTATGAGTAACTCTTAAAGAGGTATAGCAAACTGCGGTACATATAAACAACAGCTCTGAAAGTAACAATCCCAGTATTATATACCCACTTTTGTTACCATATCTGAACAAACAAGGGACAAATTTTATGAATCTATTGGTAGAGGTTTCTAGGACCGTAACAACTAAGTGTCAAGTGTCAAATTCAATATCTTACAGAACATGCTTTCCACAGCCATAATAAAAACTGAAGCTCACTCACATTAATTCCTTCCAATTTCTGCTTTATACAAATATCCGAGAACACATTCTAAATGCAAATACACATCTCAAGAAAAAATATACATTAGCACATCTTTTGATTATATTTCCCAAAGCCATCCATGAAGTAAATTTTATTTATGCATACGAACATAAGATATTATGTTGCTGCAATATTAAAGTTTATACATAAATTATGTAGACAATTGTGCAAATACTACATTCTCTTGTTGCAATCTGCACTGAATTATAAATTT